AGTTGTCAACTTCTGAGCCACTGTAGCTTCCCGCGCAAACTCGTCGACAATTGAACGGTCATATTTATAAGAGGAATTGTTTAGGAAACATATTTTAGTCATGCTGCATGTCGGCAGGCACAGCAACCATATGTTGCTCGCTCGTTGCTAGCTTGAGCACGGTGCTACTCGCTAGCGCATTGCTTCGGCTGGTGGTTCCATCTCCGCCCCGGTGGGCAGGGTTTCTTTGAGAACCAGTCAAGAAAAAAATGAGGCCACCAGTCTAAATGAGCTCCAAATAAACTTGGTAAACAGCGTCGAACTTAACCGGTGGCGAGTGTTTTTAAAACTTGCCGGGCGGCTCCACTACGGTAACTCTGGTCCTGCCACGGAACGCAAATTAGACATGACGGCACCTATAGTCATTTGCTTTCATACAGCTTCAGCCAAATAGGACGACTGTTTGAGCTTTCTTGAAGCTTTCTGGAAGGCTTTAACCTAAGCTTAAGCTGGTTTAGCGGGTAGATCGCAGTGAACGTACTCAGCGATGTGTTACCTTAATAATATCCTAATAATGGAAACGCTTCCAGTAGCAAGGCACTATGGTGCAGGCTTATTATTTTGTGCAACGTCATAACTTGTTTACCACTCGGTTTAGATCACATAATGACAATACAGAAGCACGAATACGATGCTCTTGCACATGGGCGGCGCTATATATATTTCCTAAGGGGCCTCTTTCGAGACTCTTCAGTCTCGCAAGCTGTTATTAGAGCGATGTGGCTGTCGTCTCAGCTTGGCGCAGTCGAGGAGACGTGTCGATCGTGCAATCCTCGACTGGGGACTGACGATTCTGCTTCTGAGGCTCAAAAAAAGTGCTCTGCAGTTGCAGATTTATGAGCAGTAGTGAGACATTGTGGACGGATTTGAGCTTTTGTAATAATATGAAGGCATAGAGGTTGCCGAGAAGTACAAAAAAGCTGTACAAGATGATTGAGACGGTGACGTCACGCTATTGACGCAAAAAATGTTTAATTATCCAAAAACGGTCGATCCGAAAATAACGTCATAATGTGGAGGAAAACAAGTTTGTGTAGCTTCACGGGAAACTAGACTTGTGCCCTGCAGTGGTGTGTGCGCTGCGGGGCATGAAGCGAAGGTCTGTGGTTTGAGTTTGTTAGGGGAAGAAAAGTCGGTTTTGTGTGTGGCTGAACATTTTTATTGAGGTTACACTATACTTTTTTCGTTTTTCTTTCAGGTCTTTGAAGAGGAAAGCTGCATTAGTGATCGTCGTACGAGGGGATTTCCAAAAATTAGACTGTCGTAAAGCAGACCGCTCAAAAGCTAATGAGCAATGCCTGCACTTTTAAAAAAACATCGAAGCGGTGGATGGTGTTTTGCTATTTGTGACGTGGCCAAAGGTGGCATAGTACATTGTCCCCCTATAACTTTTTTCATACGAATTACAAATTCAAGAATGCTTCTTCTGCTCTATACCGTAATTTATACTTCTCTTTGAATTTTTGCTATAGCAACTGAAGTTTCTATGCAAGCTCTGGTCTCAGGTTTGATGAAGTGAAAATTGCGGTTAACAGTCTCATGCTGATACTCCCTCAGCACATCTTTGACGGTACACTATGCCGCCAAGTGGTCAGGCACTATTGTTGTTCCTGAAACAGCATATTGTTTGATCAGTAACAGAAAGGTAGCAGCATCTCGCTATTCTAGTGGAATGGCGAAACACTTATTGGTCTCTCGCTCGTTGGTTCCAAAACACCACTGTTTCTCCAGCGTACCACTGTTGTACTTTACCCTGGTAAGGAGTGCTTCATTAACCCTCAATCTGCGCCTTCATCAGTCTCCGCTGCGCCACGCTGCTACTGTATAAAAACAATTAATGGTTGATGAAATTGTCAAATTTGTACCTTACGAACAACTAGCGATAAACTGATGATAAATTGATACATTTTCCGAATTTTTCCTGATGCAAGAAGGTGTTCTTTTTTGACCACTGATTTAGTTAGTGTTCTAAAAGGGATTTTAGCGCTGCCTCGCACAGATATCTTTTTAAAACGTTTCTTAGAAAGAAAACTTGAAAATTTACGAAGGTTTGAGCGAACGCGACTGAGTGGTCTAGTGGTATGATTCTCGCTTAGGGTACGAAAGGTCCCAGTTTTGATCACCGACTCAGCCCGCGTTCCATCAACGCTTCTGTAAGTTTGACTTTCTTGGCGTTTTTTACTCGGCAGTTAGCGGTATCGATAAAGCATAAAAAGCCACCTGTAAATCGGATTGACATAAGCCATGCTGAGTAATCAAAAGTGGAACCACTGGCCTTTGCTTGGCGGAGTCACAGTTTTATATTGTTTCCGTAATAGTTTTGATAAATTATCTTAATGCGTTGCGCACTGCTCTTTCCCAATTTGAAAGCTGGTTTTAGAAATTGAAATTTCTTGCACACTAGAACGCACTAGAACTGTGCCGGTATAGTTGTCGCCGAGAATGTGGTTCCCTTCCTGTATTTGTGCCATGGTGGTAAACCAGTAAATTGGCACTCAAAAGTGCTAGAAAAACGTCAACTACCAACGTCTTAGTTGTTCGCGCAACGTGCAAATTTCTGGTCTCGCTAAAGCCGCTTCCGTGCTGACGTTTCAGCATTGCTTCCGAAGAACAGCGGAAGTGAAGGATTCGCTACTTTATGGGCCAGTTGGTCCTCAACTTGTATAGGTTTAATTGAAGTGCTCGATCCTAGGGACAGCGACTTGCAAAAAATGCTAGTTTTGCTACAGAAATGCGGCAGTGGAAAGCGGCTGATACTGAAAACATGAACCAAAAAACATGATACTGTAAACATGAAAACATGAAATAATGTCCGGGCATTTCAGACAAACGTTACAGACAAACAAATTAGTCTGTCTGAGCGTATTTTTTGGCACAAGAACGCCTTGATTTTGGCCACTAAGCTTCCTAGTACTTTAAAGAGAAATACATATGCTGCCTCGTTGTTGATAAAATCAAGCGCTTGAATACAGCTGGGAAACAGTACACCTGACACACGAATTGTCTGCAGCTGCATTTTTCGTGGGGTGCAAGACATTTAAGCTTCGGGTTTTTCACTAGCATCACCCAAGCAGCTTTTCTAAAATTTTCTAGGGAACAAACTGGAGCAGTTACGAAGGTTCATGTTTACAGTATCAGCCGCTTTCCACTGAAGCATTTCTCTACCAAAACTACTATTTTTTCCAAGTCGCTGTCTCTAGAAACGAGCACGTCAATTAACCCTATACAAGTTCAGGACCAACTGGCTCGTAAAGTTCAGCAGAAAATTTAAAACTTTGTAATTAGTCTGGGGAGAGACATATCCTCGTGTACCTTTTTATTTTCACCTTGATCCAGGAAGTCCCTGAAGTTTGCAAAGAACATACTAAACAACGACATTTCTCCTCTGAGACAAAGTTTGCAATTCTGCAAGTTTTTTCTATCTCTGATGAAGGTCAACAACAGATTTAAACTCATGTCGCAGGATTCAAAGTCCTGAGTGCTAACCACCCCACCACGGGACCTGCGCCTCACAGCGCCTTCTTCGTCGTCTCTGAAGGTTCTCAAAGTAACCAAAGCACGAACAAACCAATGGAAGACGTATTTGCATGACTAGTTAACGCCATGGGGTGCCTGTCTAGAAAATATCGAAAAAGTCATTATTGTAGACTACCGGCAGGAGTGTGTAATTTCTACCTTATTCTTCTGCTCCCAACAAAATGACCTCGGTGGCTCACGTCCCAATGCGTTTTCCGGCTTAACGGGTG